ACTATAGAGATAGCTCAGAATAACCTGAAGCCTACAGGGCGTCTGCCTCATGGACTTGATCTAATGCTTTCATGACGCGCTAACAGTAAACAGCTGCTGTTTTAGAAAGCTGGAGCTGGTCGTGATCTCTGACTCCTCCAGCCTCAGAGGAACTTCCTGTTGAATCTTAAACATGGAGCTCTGACATCAGCATACAAAGAGAGCCGTTCCTCAGCTTCCCGATTAACTGAAGCTTCTCTAAAGTCAGCTGTTATCTAGAGAGACACGTGTCAGAGCTGCTGTTTGCTACCATTAGACAGAAACACATGTCATCATCGTCACCATGATGTCCTCTCAGCTTTATTAGCAGGAGCTGTTTGGTTGTAAATAGCAGAAACATTTTTGTTCTGGGAGATAAAGTGGATTTATTTTTATTTTTTTTCTCATTTCAATCACAGTTTTTTATGTTTAATAAAAATGTTAGAAGCCAAATCTTCTTAATAAAGATGATTTTTGGATGGAAGGGATCCTTTCTGCTGTCCTCTCCTCAGCTGGAGGTTTCCAACCAGACAGTAATTAAAGGTAATTCAGATAAAAGTGATGCACGTTAGCCTTTCATGTTCTGGGCGGTTCTGCTCGTTGGTGATTAATGAACCACTTCCATCCCGAGCACTCTGAACTCTGGCCTGGACTTAATTAAAACTCTGCCGTCCACCACTAATCATAAATTACCTCCCATAACCTGTGACTCTTTGAAAATTTGTACCAATTAATATTTGAGAAAAGAAGCGGCGGCCAGCTTCCAGTGAGAGCTGAGGTTACGCCTCAGTGGGATTTCAGTGGGGGGGGGGCTGCTGTGTCCTTCTGGGTGACCCATGTCTGCTGGGTTTGTGTTTTACAGGTAGCTGCTGTCACGATGCCCCCCCGACCCACTCAGCTGGTTTCCAGTATGAGACCAGCATCTCTGCCCCATCCTCTCCTGCTCTGCTGAGGCTGCACGTCAGACGGGATGAAGGCCTTCTACAGACTCCAACAAACCTCATGATTTCTGCTTTCTCTGCTGTCCCATTCTGTCTTCTTTCATGTCTTTAGAGCGATTTTACACGTCAGAGGAAAAACAAAAAACAGTCCAGTCTACCTGATGTTTGTTTAAGTCATGAATCAGAGCATAAAACCTTATTTTAATCTGACCTGACAGATTCCACACTGCAAAAAAACGGAAATCTAAATAAATAATTTCCCCTTAAAATCACTGTGTTTTCTGACACTTTGCCAAAGGAATGCGACAATTTACATTTAAAATAAGAAAAATTATTTATTCTTCTTATTTCAAATGCAATAATATCTAATTATCTTGTTCTAACAGTAAAAATACTCATTCCATTGACAAATCATCTCATTTACCTGCTTAATTAAAGGGTAAATACAGTTAATATAAGAAATAATGACTTATTTGTGGATAGTTTTTGCAGTTCAGTCTGTTCATAATCTAAAATGAAGCCAAAAGAGTTGATCCAGCCGCCTTCAGCTGCTTGTTCCCTTCAGGAGGAAGATTTTCCCTTTGTTTAACTTGACCTCGTTGACCCCTGGATGGTTTCCTCCAGGCTGGACTTTGGGGCAGACATTTCAGCGCTGAAAGGTTTCAGGAGCTTCAAAGGAAGATCATCATCCCTCCTCCACCGTGCCGTGCTGAGTGAGAGGTGCCTGATGTTTAATCACCTAACATCTCTGTTTAGATTCTAAAAGTAAAGTTTGACAACGTCCTTAAAGTCCTTCCGGTTGATGGACGGCAGCAGCCTGATGTCGAGGCAGACGTCCCATAATCCTCTGCTTCACAGGAAGCAGCTCCATCGAAGGCAGAACTGGACTCAGCTTTCTTGGCTTTGTTTTGTTTAATCAAACATTTTTTCTGTTGTTTTTATTAGAAACCTTAGATTTAAATCACTCTGAGAAGATTCAACATTTTCTCTACATCCTGATAAATGCGCTTTTTTTGATGAGTCATCCATTCTGTCATCAGAGGTTCTGATCGGGGAAGCGGACCTTTGGTTCTTAAATGCAGAACCAGACCAGGACTTTCTCTGCTTCTGTAAACTGTTTGCTCTATTTCCTCTAAAGATCCAAATACTCAGATGTAATTTATTTATTATGTGTAGTAATGTTAACTTGTCTGAATGATAAATAAAGTTCAGCGCTGAGCAGGAGAGTCTGTCAGATCATGACCTGGTTTCTGATGTTTGACACAAAAGATGGAATAACTTCTCTGTATCTTTTACTTTAATTGAGAAAAAAAAAATAAGAAAAATGTTTAAATAAAGAAGAGAAACGGCTGACATAGTCAAATAAACTATCTGTCTTGTTACGCCTGTTCATCCAGGCCAACTATTCCCTCTAACGACCCTCCCCTTTCAGAGACATAGACAGGTATGGGGCATTGCAGGCTAACAAAGAAGCCAAACCACCCCCATTCCAAAGGGGGGGACCCGTTCATCCGTTTCTATTTGCATGTTTTCTAAACTAAAACCAGGCTTTGTTGGGCTGCTGGATAAAACCTGGAACTAAACGCTATTTCTGACATTTTGGATTGAAAAATCTTCCTGGATGGAAGAGAAACGTCTTCAAACTGGGAAACAAAGTCCAGTGGATTGATTTTTATTTTCTTTTTTTGGAATATCTATCAGAGAAACGTTGTTGAACTTAAACCCTGATGACCGTTCTAGATCCGCTCTGCTTTGTGAGGTTTGACTCCATGAAACAGATCTTCTCTTGTTTGGTTCCTGAGGTGTTGGTGCCGTTCCGGGTCACCAAGCCAAGCTTCGGTCGGTCCAGCCGTGTCCAGAGTTCATAGATCTAGAACATCCCAATCTGATCATCCAGTAACGAGATGATGCAGTCACACACTTTATGATAATTATTCTTTATTAACCCCTTGATGTTGGCTTTTGCCAACATTCTAATATTTCCAGTAAGGCCAAAATTACCCACACCACTAAAACAAACTGGGGTCTCATTTGTTAAACCACCTTGTTTTAAAAGCTGCATATAGACATAAATGTTGAAATATTGCCTTTATCACTATACTGTAACACATCACCTACAGGATCCTCCCAAAAAACCCAATGCTGCCATTTTTGTAACTAGAAAACACCAATAGGGATATATCTTCATTCTGGGATATATCTGCCTCTTCTGAGGCCTTTCTTTGCTTCTCATCCACTTCATAGACACTCATCCAACCCTCAGCCATTTTCAAAGAACGGCAGTGAGAAAGCTCAGCTTCAATGACTGAAACTGTAGCTAACAGGCCTGAAAGAAAAAAGACGGCTAACAGGACGAGAACCAGAATGATTGACAGCTAGGAAGGCCACTTATTTAGATGATCCACCTGGAAATAAAAGATCATCCACTATACCTATAAGCCTAATATATGAGAGTTAATCCTGTGTGAATTTCTTTCAATCCTGCTAATCCTGTTATTCCAGCTGTAAACCGAACAAACACATGCAGAGCAGCTAGCTCTGTGTGTTTACTCCTGATGCTTGGAGAGACCCATCCAACATGGCGGCCATGCAGAATGAGCTCCAGACCGTAATAAGTCGTCAATGACTCCTTTCGAATTTATAGACTGGATCCTCCAAGGACGCGGTCTACCTGGACTGGATCCTCCAAGGACGCGGTCTACCTGGACTGGATCCCTCCAAGGACGCGGTCTACCTGGACTGGACCCTTCCAAGGACACGGTCTACCTGGACTGGACCCTTCCAAGGACGCGGTCTACCTGGACTGGATCCTTCCAAGGACGCGGTCTACCTGGACTGGATCCTCCAAGGACACGGTCTACCCGGACTGGATCCTTCCAAGGACGCGGTCTACCTGGACTGGACCTTTCCAAGGACGCGGTCTACCTGGACTGGATCCTTCCAAGGACGCGGTCTACCTGGACTGGATCCCTTCAAGGACGCGGTCTACCTGGACTGGATC